TCAGTAACAAAAAGGAAAAAGGCGACATTTCGAAGAATCAGAGTGCTTCGCATGGCTTACTCTCCTGATTTTTTGTTCTCATAATTTATCATTTAAACCATGAATACTTTATTCATTTTTTCAAATCAGCATTAAAAATGGCTAATAAATTAAACTGAAATAAATTTTTTAATTTTTAATGAAGACATCAAAATTTAGCATCAAGTTTCAGCGAAAAAGGAAACGGTTTTAGACATTGTGAACAGCGATTTCAATCATTAGCTTAGATTACGATGGTACGACACATAAAATATCTACATTTATTTTTTACGTATTTTTGAGTTTGACAAAATCGTTAAACAACCAATTACAGATGTCAAATAGAATTGAGGAGTTTAGTCAACAGTTATGCGAATATGTGGAACGAAATGATCTTGAAGGACTACAGTTTTTTATCGGCGATTTAGTAAAAACCGTCTCTTCCGTAAATCAATTCAAAAAAGCTATGGTACATTTGTTAAGAAATATATTTTAATTAAAATCATACTTGTTTGAGTCAGCATAACAAAAACAACTTTCTTTTTTAACTTAGCCACTAAATCGTTGATTAATTTCTGAAGTTAGAGGATGGAAAGAGATATTGAATCTTATCTTTAAAAGTGCATTCGCTGCAACGTCGGATATCACCGAGTTGTAAAAAAATTTTAGTTTTTTTTGGTTGTCTTTATTACGTTTGACAAGTGATTTTTAGAGATGATCAAACCTTTTATTCTATTTTTACTGTTTATTTTTTTAGTTATGTGATTTTGATTTGTTCACAACCTAAAAAATTTATTTGTAAAAAATATATATGTTTTACTGATATTTTATAGTAGTTTTTACAGAAAGTCAGCACATGATTACGTTATTAAATAATGGTTCAAGTACAGAACAGCATTAACTTTTACAGTGGAATTTTTTAGTTTTATCAATCAATTATTTATTATTTACGTACTGTTTTACAGTGATTTTATTACGGTTTGAAAATACAATTGTTCCGGGTAAAAATTTTGCTGCAGCTGGAGAATCAAAATTTTATGATTAAATCATTTATTAATCACCAAATATTAGTAACTGAACTACTGCTTTTAAATGTATACATTCTGTTTACTGAAATAAATTATAAACGACAAAAATAGGCGCATATATACTGATATATTTTAAAAAATTTATTGTTTGTAAAACTCGAATGAAATTTTTTTTTTTCTTGTTTTTGGTAGTCGCAGTTTGATGCTTTGTGTTTACCAAATATAAATTCAGTGTTAATGCAGGCAGTCATTAACCAGTTTGGGTATTTTGGGAATCAGGAAGAAAAAATAAGATACTCAAAAAGACGAGAGAAAATACAGATTTTTTTAGTTCAATTGGATTAGTAGTGACATCAGTTTGATGGTAGTTGCCGAGTCATATAGCTTTTGATGGTCTTTTCTCTATCTACTATTCTTTAATCAGAATAAAAATATCTGACACAGTTATTGTTGCAACTGCCTGTAACTTACTGCCACTTTGTGCCTCAGTCTACAGAATCGTTTGAAAATCAAAAAACCAAAATTTTGAACATTTAATATTTCTTATTTTCAAGTATTTATTTTCAATCTAAAATAGGTGAAAGTCTTGCCAAGTGAATTTAAAGAGTTATATGATACGATAATATTATATGATAAAGTGGTAAAATATTTTAATGTTCACAAAACTTGTATGATAAAACCGTATTTGATAAACTTTTTTCCTTAAAACATTTGTTCCTAATCAATTTACCAAAGCACAAAAATAAGTCTTCCTCTTTTGGACGATTATTCTGAAAGGCTCTATTAACTAGTTACTGGCCGTAATATCAAATTGTAATACCAAAAAGCACTTTAATTCAGCAGTAATTTTGAATAAATCAAGATATTTCTTACGGTACTAAGCATAGAGAGATGAGTGAAGGAATATCATGCAAAAGATTTCTCAAAGGAAGATGATGAAAGAATATTGGTAGATAAAATGTTCAGAAAACGTTGTAAGCTAAAGGTAGAAAAAAGGTAACAGAGCTTAAGATTTGAAGTCGTAGATTAGAACAATTTTTTCATAATGCATAAGGAAATAACAAAATCTCTGAGTTGTTCAACGGTTACACAGTTGAGGGTTTAAGGTGGATATTGGAGTTATGGTAAGTAATGCCATCTTTCAGCTTTTATCTGCCTTGCTTTTCGTTTTTCTGTTTTTTGCTTAATAGGATATTTATTGAGCAATGCAGAAAAAAAAAGACTCGAAAAGTTAGTCTAATACGATCTTCACCTGTGAAAAAAGTGGTAGTTTTTAGAAAAAAAAACCTTCTAATAGATCACTACAAAAGAACATACAAAAAATAGTAAATAAAGCTTTATTTGGATGTCTCAAGTATAATAATTTTTATATCAAATTTTTGTTTTTTTCAGTATCTTTATACACAGTTCAAAACGAGTTTAATATTGCAAAAAAAAAAAAACTTTGAAATATATAAAGGTTCTAATTCTCTTCAGTTATTTGCTAACAGATCTTTAGTTTTTTTTGTTTTATAAAAAAACACACTAACTGTTTTTATCGCAGGTGTTACCGCTGTCACTTGCAGCTCGTAAGGGCCTCATTGAAATTGTTAGATATTTTATTGACCAAGGAGTGGATCTTTGTGCAAAAAATAAGTATCAGGTAAAAAAACTTATTAATAAAACATTAAAAATTAAATTCTTGTGGTAAAAGATAAGTCATTGTAACATAAACCGTTGCTGTTGGTATTGAGCACTTTTTTTTTTTTTTTTGTAAAAATAATGAAGGATTTCAATATTCTGCAATTGGTCATCGCCTGTTTAGATAGCACCAATAGTCGGTGCATGCAGAGAAGGACACCTTGAAGTTGCTACACTTTTGGCAGATTGCGGAGCAGATGTTCATTCAACAGATTTTATTAAGGTTAAAAATTACTTTTTTTTTTTTTAAAATTTTTTCACAAACGGGGTTACTTTGTTATGAAAGTAAGTTTTTAATAGAAAATTTTTTTGGGAAAATTTCTTTGCGGATCAGATGAGGAACAACTACGTGAAGAAAGAAAAATCAGAAAAAAATAAAGGTTTAGCACTTTGGTTTGTTTTAAAACAACTGATAATTGGGCATGTCTATAAAAGCAAACCTTTTTCACAGTAATAATAACTTTCCAAATATTGTTCATTTGTCATCAAAGGAATGGCGCTAAATGATTGTTTTGCCAAGTTTCATTAGTTTGAAATTTTGTGCAACAAATATTGTATTACTGTCTTTTCTTATAAAAAATTAGTGGTGAAAAAGAAAATTTGTGATCTAAAGGAGTGTAAAAAGTAAACTGATTAGTAGTAGCCTACTAAACCAGAAAAGCGATGTATCCACCAAAAAGAAGAGGCTGAGAAAAGAAAACGAGGGAAAGTGAAAGAACGATTATTTGTTATCTTCTTCCTCTCTGTTCGTTTTTTCGCTTTTCTTTGATGTGCGGAAATGAACAACAGCATATGGATCACTCGTAAGGAACAGCAAAATCAGAATAAAACCAAATTTGATACCGTCCAAGTGCAACTGCAAAATTTTCTGTCTTTTATAACTTTAACTGATAATTCTCTTTGTATTCGTCAAGATAATCTTTATACCGTGTTCCACATTAAATTTCAAGCTATAGTGGCAACTGTTTTTCACCACTAAACATTCTAGAATCCAACGAAGTGCTCAGGCGAAAATGTATGCGTTTCTATTTGAAGCATATAAAAGCTGTTTCTGACTCATTTTACAGAGGACACCGTTGTTGGTAGCATCTAAGGTGGGACAACTTGATATAGTCAAATTCCTGCTAAAACGTGGAGCCTCTGTTAACTCAAAAAACTTCTTAAAGGTACAAACTTATGAATGAAAACAGATATCATGTAATTACTTAAGAATAACACTGAATCAGTGGTATAGAAAAACGATAATATTGTATTGCAAAGATTTGCTGTTTTAATTGTGTTTCAGATATTAAATTATTTCATCTTATTTTGGTAATTCTAGCAAAAGTTTCAACAGTTCATAACTTTATTCAAAAATGACTCTAATGTTCAAACAACAGTTCAAGTCGAACCTTCCGTCATAAGTGACAACAACCTCTACATAAATTTTGCATTGTCTTTTTTGCGTTAAACTGCCCTTAATATGCTCTTCGTTTCTGCCATAAACATTTTCAGATACAAACATTTATTTTATACAAAAAAGGTAGTGTGAGAATGAATAGTACCATAAAAACCGTGGCTTTTTGATGGTGAACGTTGGGTTGTAACATTTACACCAGCCTGCTCTTCCAAGTGCTCCAAATGACTATAATTTTGAACAGAAATAGTTCCAAAAGAATTGTTAAAAATCAGTTAAAAAACAGTTTAAAAATTATATGCTTTTGTTTTTTGTATCAATTTTTTCTTGGTCTGTCAAACAACAATTAAATTTGCAGTTTCAAATCGCACTTGACCAAAAATTTCAATTTTTCTTTTTTCATATTCTAGAGGACATCATTAATATTGGCGACAATAAGCGGCCATGTTGAGGTGATCAGGTACCTGCTAGAAAAAGAAGCTGACGTTGAAGCAAAAGATGAAGATCAGGTGAGGAAAAAAAGGCTAATAAAGTCAGTGAAAATGATAACTATATCATTCAGCAGCACTGTCAGTTTTGCTGAAACAGCTGACAACTGCAACCTAGAAATTGGTTAGCACCTGAACTCATTTATATCAGTTTTTTTGCTATATCTGCTTCAGATTTTTGGAATAAAAACTTCAGTTTTTGATACAGTTTTCGAGAATAAACAAAATATTCGATAAAATAATTTTTTAATTTGCAGAAGACATCGCTAATTGTAGCCAGTGAAAAGGGCTTTACAGAAATTGTTGATATTTTAATTAAGAATAAAGCTGACGTCAACGTAAAGGATAAATACGAGGTAAAAGAAATAAAGCAACAGTTTTCAGAAAACTTTAATTTTGCTCTTTAAACTTTACAAACAACATGTTTTAGTTTTATAAAAATAATTTTTGATAACACTGTTTCTTTCGTTTTGTCAACTTCTGAATCACGTCGTCAACAAAACAAACCGCGAGAGTTATGAAAACAATCACTATTTTATGAACGACTTTAGAAAACGCCCTTGATCCATGCATGTAAGCACGGATATGGTGATATTGCAAAAATTTTGGTTGAAAATAAAGCAGATGTCAATGCGAGGGATTTGGAAAGGGTAACTTCGCTCTTTTTACTACTGTAAAATAGCATTTTCTTTATTTAATGTTTTTATCTTGATCTTCTGTAAATTTTGAAAAGCTAAATATTAACTGTAGTCTAGGGTAAATCTTGAGGTGTATTTTCGGTTGCCTTACACAAAGATTAACATTTAATGAATAAGTAAATGAAAATATTTTCTAGTTCATCTCAATGACAAAAAATGAGAAATTTTAGTTGTTGTAGTGAAACTTCTTTGTTTCAGATGACACCACTGTTGGCAGCGTGTGAAAATGGCAATACTGATATAGCAAAGCTGTTAGTGGAAAATAACGCTGATATAAATGTCAGAAATGAATTTCAGGTAACAACGCAAGTGATACATTAAATTCTGGGAACTTTTTTTCATCTATAAGTTACAGAATAGTTACATTCGTCTGATTTAAAACTGTGATCAACAGTTATTCAGGTTCCTTCAATCATTCATTTCTGTGGTTTTTTAAATTTAACTTTAGAGAACACCGTTGTTGGAGGCATGTATAAGAGGTAACGCTGAAGTTGCAAAACTTTTAATTGAGCATAATGCAGCGGTTAATTCTGCAGACATCAACAAGGTAAAATTCAATAAAACAGTGAACAAGTATTTATATTTTATATAATTTATCCGATTTATGTTTAAAAAAGTGCTTTTTGGTAAGGTTTTTATGTATGTCACATGAACCAACAGCTAGTGAACAGCAGTTAACAGTAACTATTTTAAACAGTTTTAGCAAAAAAAATTTCTTGTAATTTTGCAGTCATTCTCGTAAAACACCTTCTTTCCTCTCCTTCAGAATACACCACTGATATACGCCAGTAGAGGTGGATACATTGAAGTTATGAAACTTTTGATAGGCGAAGGAGTAAATGTTAATGCATTTAACATAGACAGAGTAAACTTTCTTCCTTTCAAATTGCACAAATCTTATCGCATAATTTCTGTAAATTCTTCCCAAATCTACACTGCCGAACAAATCAAGTCTTTATAGAAATTTCATCATGGCAAAAAAAGCCCAGTCTTCTGCTCATGCTAAAAAGAAACGATTTTTGGTGCTAATATTTAAATTCTGTTTAACAAAAGAAAATTTTAGGAAACGCCATTGTTGGTTGCTTCTAAATATGGTCATTCTGAAGCGGTCACACTACTGACTGAAAGTGGAGCCACACTGGATTTCAGAAACAAATTTCAGGTAAGCTGATGATTACGGGGTAGAAACTGTATAAAACGTATGAGTATCAGATCGTTTTTGATAGTTAACACACTGTGTCTCAAAATTATCAAATTATATGTATTTCACACTGTTCTATTGTTTTAGCAATATGCATAATTATCGTAAATCTAAAACTTTTCTCTTCTCATATAGAGAACACCGTTATGGATTGCATCTGACGAAGGAGCAGTTGCTGTTGTAAAAATTTTGATTGCAAAACAAGCTGACATCAACGCAAAAGACATTCTTCAGGTCAGTACTTTTGAAAATAATAGAGCTTTCCAGAATTACTCAAAAATTAATATAGTTGTTTCCATTATACATGTATATATGCTCGCATTTTTTAACTTAAAATTTACTGATAGCTCAAGTGAACCCAAATTTAACTCCCGACCTGTACCTATAATGCAGTATCGAATTATATTAAGTGGCAAACAAATTCAAAAACAAAACAAAAAAAGATAAAATCACAATGTCTTAAGTTTTTCACAGAATAAAACTAAATAAAGTTAAACTGCTGAAATTTTTAGACAACAAAAATTTTTAATTCGGCTCATAACCCAAGTGTTGAGGAAGACTGAGAGAGGACACTGTTAGTTCTGTGGATGCTAGTCCTCAGCACTATATTTTTAAATCGTGATATTCTCTGTTAAACGATAAGAAAGTTACAGCTAACTACTTGTTCCGTTTCTGTTGCTCGGAATATCAGTGCTAAAATTCTGGTTGTACTGCATATGTATGTAATACTTGCGTTATATAATATATCCACTATATAATCAAATTTATACCTGTAAAACGTAAATAATTGTTTAAACGAATGACACTTTTTTGCACGCTGTACAGTCGACCTATCGTTCAAGGAAGAAATTTTTTGCTTTTCTCTTTTCCTTTTTTCCCTCCTCGCCTCCCCGCTGCAACCGATTGCTCCTCTGCGATTTTAGAGAAGAACGAAGGAAAAGCAGTTATGTAGCCCTACAAAATCTATAGATCTGAAACAGTGGGCTTTTTTAGTGCACAGCCAGGTCGAAAAAACGCTAATCAAAAATAAAACCCATATCACTCATAACACTTCACACGCAGCTCTAGTTCGACAGAGCCTCGTGAGAGCAGAATCAGAACATGAGAAAAAAGCGGAAGTGTTAGAAAGAGAAAATGAGAGAAAATAATGTATTTTTTTGTGAAGAGAGAGAAGATTAAGGGAAGAGGATTGAGGACATTCCTGATAAAATTAAAATGTTTGATGCAGTAAAACTTAGGCTTGTGCTGCAGTTTTATCTGTTTTAGAGAACACCTTTGCTACAAGCTTGTAAAAAAGGGCACGTTGACGTAATAGAGGTTCTGTTAAAAAATGGAGCGGATGTCAATGCAACAGACAAGCATAAGGTGAGCTATTAGCTTGATTATTCAGAGGGAAGACAATACTGTTAAAGGAAATTCTTTAAAAAATCGATTTTAATTTAATAGTATTTCCGAATTTTGCTCAATGCTCTGTACTGTTGAGCACTACATAATGACACTACACAAGATGATTTTTGAAAACTCAAAATCACAAATATGCTTAATCGACCTAATCTTTCTGTTATTCCGACATTCCAGAGAACCCCGTTATTAGAAGCTTGTGAGCAGGGGTATGTTGACGTCGTCAAACTCTTGGTGGAACATAAATCCGACGTTAATGCAAAAGATATGCATCAGGTAGTTTACTATTTTGAGATTCAAAAGATTAGTGCATTTCAGAATTCTTTCACTTATTACTGTGTTGAAAAAGGATGTTGTACATTTTTAGCGATTTATTTGAATTAAGGTGAGCATTTTTGCAACATTATCGCTGTGATATTTGTAGTGGAACCCCTCATTGTCATCTAGTTCAATGTATTGGTTTTATTAACTGTAGATTACACCGCTGGCAACTGCAACTTACAAAGACTGCGCTGAACTGAAGGAAATTCTGGAAGCCAATGGAGCTGTGAAATGAGTGAAGAAGCAGTGTCAGATAGCACACTAATTAACTGAATAGATAGCCGTTATTTATTGCATTTGCTAGATTTTGAAAAAGTTACAGAAGTGGTTTGGCTAAATATGTCGCGCTGAACTGCTGTATAAATCTGAGGGGATAACGTTACTAGTACTTCCGACGTTTTATTGTGTACTCAACGTTTATTATCGGAAACGGTGAAACACACTCTCACACAGTGATCTCACCCCACTGCTGCAGAACATAGAAGTGATGAACGATATGTACAAAATATTTTGAGTGTATTCAAGTCCACTAAACACTTGAAGTCCTCTAAACAGGACTACCAAAACAGTGTTGTACAAAGTGTTAATTTGATGAAAACGAGGAAGCCAAAATACTAGCAATCTTTTAAAGAATTCATTGATTCTCATTATTTGATCACTGGGTTTGAATCGAGGATTCACTGACAAGTGTAAGCAATTTACCACCAAATGTAGTTCAGGATAAGGCAAAACTTCAGATTTCAACATATATTTTATTGTATTAGTCAAATTACTGAGGGTTATGGCCATTTGTTAAAAACCATTAGACAGTGTAACTGTGAAAGGATTCTAAAAAAATCGCCCAATATCTCTTCATGTATCATCGAAGTAAAGAAGACAATAACTGTTTCATTTTAAGTTCAACATTTTAACTTTATTCTCTTGTACCTTAGAATGTTTTTAATTACCATTACAATGTACCAGACAGTTTGTTGAAAGTCATTGACAATTTCCAGCAGGAAATACATGTATGAGATTACCTTTGAGAGTCATGCTAAACCCTGAACAATTAAAGAATGTTTAAGTTTATTTACTTAGGTACTTAATAGCACTTTGTCGTTCAACTTGTTACACAAATTAAATATGTCAGTTACTTCTTGAAGTTTTAAGCTGCATAAAAGGCATACAGTCATATTTATAAGAGTCTGTTTTTTTAGCTATAAAATGCCTAAAATTTCCCAAAAAATAATCGCTGACTTAATACTTTGATTATTTTTACCAAAATACTAGTGTATTATATAACAAGAACATTCTTCTTTTAACAAACTCTATGTACAAATGTATATAAGCCATTCCATGTTAAATCGCACACCTTCGTACATCACCCTCTCAAATTTTTTTCATTTTTTTGCTGATTAGTAGAGTCTGGGCTAGCATAAAGAAAGCAGCAAAGAAAATTCGGAAAAGTGGATTCCCCGCCAAGTTACACCCCTCCTCCCCCAAAGTAAGTATTGTATTAATAAAAATTTCCAAAGTTAAGCTTAGAAGTATTCAGAACGTAATAGAAAACTGTACTTCTCTGTCGCTAGCAGTCTGTCATCTTTTGCTGCTACTAACAGATCTAAGGTACCGTTGTCTGCTGGATGACCGGTTATACCGAGAAGTCGTGAACTTTTTTTGGCATTTTGCATCAGTTAGCCAAAGTACAGTGGCATGATTTATGCCAAACCCTTAATTTGAATTCTAATTTGCTAAAAATATACTGCAAAAACAATTGATGAGCATTTAAAAAAAAAGTATAAACTTAGAACTGAACTAACTGAGCAAAAAAGTTAAAAAAATTTGTTGTAGCATTATTTTTTCTGTAATGTGGAAGTTTGGTAAAATACTTTGTTTACTAAAAAATTATTTGTACTAAACTACTACTGATAAAAACAGCTGATTTCAAGAAATACTTAAATTTAACATAGCGACACTTATTTTGTTGCGACATCTCACAGTAATATAACGGATAACCTTAATTATCTTCGTAGTGTCAAGTTTTCGATGACATCAGACCTTCACCGGGCCACCTAACCGCCAAATTTTTCCTCCGCAGGATAAAGATCAAAGGTTTTATGCATTAAAAATTCCTTTTTATTTGATGGTAGCCAGACACCTTGACGAATTTACAGCAAGATTTGAAGTAAACTGTCTTGCTTTAAATAAGATGATATAGCTTTGAAAGGTGTAGCTATAGCCACTGTAACGCTAATATTA